CCCTCTTTGTGGTGGACACTCACCCCGCTTCAAAAGAGTTAGTGATGGCTGATGCTCATCTTCCAGGCCTCATTGCGCTGTAGATTTGGCTCAGGGTGGGCACCTAGCAAAGCCAGTTAATAGCCCTTCGCTGAGAATTTTTAATTTAGAGCAGAGCTCACCACCCTCAAGTCCTCCAGAGTCTGAAGATGTCTGCCACCTGTGCAGAAAGCTGGTCTAAATGTAGGTAGCCGGTGTGTGGAGAAGCAGACAAGGACTGCAGGGGGGAGAGCTCTGTCTGCACTCTCTGTGGCCTAGAAGACCCTCCTTTGCTATGATTTGTTCCTATCAACAGTTTTAGTGATCCTTGTTTAATTGTGTCCTTTCAGTGGTAACTAGGAGATTTGATTTCCTTATGTTTCTGAAAGGCTTTAAAAGCTTCATCTCACATATTTTGGGCATGTTGCTGTTATGTGTCATTGAGTCAACTCTGAATCATAGTGACTCTGTGTACAACGGCTCTGGATCCTGCTGTATCTTGAGCCAACTTCACTACATTGCCCCAGTCACTGAGCCAATCCATCTCATCCAGGGTCTTCCTGTCTTGTGCTGTCCCTCCACTCTTCTAACCATGACATCCCTCTTCAAGGACTGAACCCGCCTTGCAACATGTCCAAAGTATGTGAGATAGAGCCTTAAAACCCTTGCCTCCAAGAAACAGCCTGGTTTTACCCTCTCCAGTACAGACCTGTTTGTTCTTAGTCCATTGGTATATTCAACTCTTCTCCAGAACCACAACTCAAAGGCATTGGTCTACCACCCATAGTCATTGCCAGCTCTCTGATGCATAGTAAATAATTATGATGAACATGACCTGGATCAGGTCTCTAGACTGACATTGTTGCTCTTCAGCACTCAGGAGAGGTCCCTGACAGCAGATTTTCCCAATGCAATTCATCTTTTGATTTCCTGACTGATGGTGCCAATAGTATGGATTGTGGAGCAATGTTAGCTGAAGCTGTTAATGATCTCTCAATTTCTTTCCCCATCTATCATGAAGCGGCCAACCAGCCCAGTGGTGAGAATATTTGTTTTCTTGATGTTGTTGTTATGTGCCGTCGAGTCGCTTGCGACTCATAGCGACCCTATGTACAACAGCCCTAAACTCTGCTCTGTCCTGTGCCAATCGCACTGTCTCTGATACTCCCATCCCGAATACCCCACTCACTAAATCAATCCATCTCATAGAGGGCCTTCCCCTCCTGCGCTGTCCCTCCACCCTCCCAAGCATGATGTCCTTCTCCAAGGACCGGTCTCTCCTCACAACATGTCCAAAGTATGTTAGACGGAGCCTCAGAATCCTTGCCTCCAAGGAGCCACCTGGTTTAACCCTTTCCAGGACAAATCTGTTTGTTTTCCTAGCAGTCCATGGTATTCTCAATTGAAGGCTGTAGTCCCTGACCTTCTGCAGCAAATGTCTCAGGTCCTTCTCAGTTTCAGCAAGCAGGGTTATAAGCATAATGCAGGTTGATGAGTCTTCCTCAAATCCTAATACCACATTGCTCCTCATAGAGCCCAGCTTCCCAGAAGATCTATTCCTAATACAGATTGAAAACGTATGGAGATAGGACATATCCCTGGTGCACTCCTTTCCTGATTCTGAACCATGCAGAGCTCCTTGCTCTGTTCTGACGACTGCCTCCTCCAAGTATAGGTTTCACATTAGCACAATCAAGTGTTCTGGGATTCCCATTCTTCTCACAGTCAGCCACAGTTTGTTGTGATCCACACAGTTAAAAGCCTCTGCATTGTCAATGAAACAGAGAGACACTCCTCTGGTAATCTCTGCTTTCAGCTAAGATCCATCTGACATGGGATATAATATCCCTAGTGCCATGTCCTCTTCTATACCCAGCCTACACATCCAGCATTTCTCTGTTGATGTGCTGTTCCAGTCATTTTTGGGTAATTTTCAGCAGTATCTTGCTTGCATGTGTTAATGGTATTTTTGTATAATTTCCACACTCTGTGGGGGGGGGTCACCCTTTTTTTGGGTATGTTGCTAGGACTACGTTTGCTAAGAGACTATTTAAGGGAAGCCCTTCAACCAAGTGAACTGACACAGTGACTGTGACAGTGGGCTCACGTGTGTCAGAGATTGTGAAGATGGCACAGGATACGACAGGGTTCAGACCTGTTATTCACAGGGTCAGAGTCCCCCTCTCCTTGACAGCACTTAACAACTCAAAGGACAGCTGTGGGGACCAGTGTTTGGAGCCACAAGAGGGAGTTCAGAAAAACTCATTTATTACTTTCATACTCACCCTTCAAAGACTGAGTGAAAAGAGGCCACAGCAACTTCTGAGTGGAATGCAAATGGGAAACTGGGTCAATTTCCTTTGAGTTTCTCAAGTGAATGTACTGAATAAGAGCAAAGAGTGGGAGCTCTCCACCCCCTCCCACCATTACACCCACAAACCCCTCTGAAGGGCCTCTGGATTCCAAAATTCACGTAGTGCACTTGGTGCTACAAACCTGTCTCTCAGAACCCTGCCTTCTTGTGCTGTGCAAGATCCAAGACGAGGCCTGGGGACCCGTGGGTTGAGTGAGGAAAAAGCGCTATTATAGGCCTGACGGGTGGCGGGCACTTTTGACAGGATGGGGCAGGAAAAAACTTCCCTGAGATCTAATTTCTTAGGCAACGTTGTTGATTGCCTTTGAGTCGAGCACTACACATAGCAACCCTATGAGCAAAAGGCTCAATGCCCCTCAAAAACTACCGACACTTATCAAAATTAATAGTTTCTGGAGGCATATTGTTTAGGACATGGATGCCACTCCTGTTTCTAAACCTAAACCTATCATTAGTATGTTACTGTTTTTATATGCCACTGAATCACTTGTGATGCATAGTGACCCTATGTACAGTAGCTCTGAACCCTTCCCTGTCCAAAGTCAGTCGCACTGACTCTGACATACCAACCTTCATCACTCTAGTCACTGTTATCAATCCATCTCATCAGGATTCTCCCTCTCCTGCACTCAGTCCACCCTTCCAAGCATGATGTCCTTCTCCAAGGACCAATTTCTCCTGGCCACGTGCCCAAAGTAAGGAAAAGCTTCGAAATCCTAGCTTTCAAGGAGATACTTGGTTTCACCTCCACAAGACAGACCTCTTTGTTTTCTTGGCAGTCCATGGTATGTTCACAACTATTCTCCACCACAACTGGAAGGCATCTATTCTTCTTCTGTCATCCTGAGTCATTGTCCAGCTCTCTGAAGAATAACAAGTAATTGAGAAGACCACGGCCTAGATTAGGTGCACCTTTGTATCTAGACTGACGTCTTAGGCAACAGAACTGTCACAACATATCTGCTGAACTCTCAGGAACTGAGGATGGTGCAGGACAAGGCAAGGTGTCTGTTTGTTGTTCATAGGATAGAGCGTCAACTCAAAGGCACCTAACAGCACAGTGCCAGGCCAGCCCTTGCACCAGGGGTCCTGGCCATCCGTGGTGGAGAGGTCCTTGTACCGGGATCCTGGCCATCCTTGTTAGATCCGCCCTTGAACCGGGGTCCTGGCCATCCCTGGTGGAGAGGTCTTTGTACCAGGGGTCCTGGCCATCCGTGGTAGAGTGGTCCTTGCACCAGGGGTCCTGGCCATCCGTGGTAGAGTGGCCCTTCCACCAGGGGTCCTGGCCATCCCTGGTGGAGAGGTCCTTGTACCAGGGGTCCTGGCCATCCGTGGTTGATTCGTGGTAGTGTTTGTTTCTCTCCTGGCCTTCACACACCTGAGGCTCCTTGGTCTTCAGGAGCTGCTGTCCTGTTAAAGGCTGCTGACCAGGCGGGGTCCTCACCTTGTCACTGCCGAGGATCCCCAGGTGGGTGTCAGCAGATGGCGAGGTGATACTTCCTGCAGAACCGCCTGGATGTCGCCCGAGACGCTTCTCGCCGGAGGCGGAGACCCTGCTCCGCTCAGGCAGGTCCAGGCCACGCAAGGGTCCTTCCGAGCAGCCCCCAGACCCTCACCACGAACTCAGCGAAAACGTCGAGGGCTGCGGTGGGGAAGGGGCTGCTGGCCAGCAGGAGCTTCCCGGGCCGTCCGCTCCCCTCGGGTGACAGGCCTGCAAACCCTGCGGGCAGCTCTGAGCGGGGCCACTAGCTGGCGGCCGGCCGGGAGGACGCGCCCTCCGCTCGGGAACTCGGGCCTCGTTCCGGCTTCACCGTCTCCCCAAGGTCTCCCGGGGGTTCCGGCAACACTGGTGTCCGTCCTCTTGTCCAGCAGGCACCACCGGTCAGCTGATGAGACAACAGAGCCCCGCCCCACACAACTCCACGACCCATCACGGCCGCCCGAGCAGCCGCAGCCCCGGGGTCGCCGGAAGTGACGGCACGCGACGCGTGTGGAGCCCCGCCCCTTTACGACCGACGCCCGCCCCTTCCGGCCGACGCCCGCCCCCGTCCGTCCGTCTCCCCGCGTCTTCCGGCCGGCTCCCCGCCTTTTCCGCGCGGCGCCCCGCCTCTTCCGGCCGGCGCCCCGCCCACGGCGCCCCTCCCCCGCGGCCGTCAGCCTCGCCCTCTCCTTCCTCTTCCTCCCGCGCCCTCGCACCTGAGCGCGCGCACCTGCCCGCCCGGCGCCCTGCCCTTCTCCCGGGTCCGCCTGAGTGTTGTCGCCGCCGCCGCCAGGCCCGTCCGGCCGCGGAGCCTCGCGGCTGCGTCACCGCCGCCCCGACAAGATGGACACCGCCGAGGAAGGTGGGTCGGCGCCGGCCCGCGCCTGCCGCCGCGCTCGGGACGGCCGGGAGAGGCCGTTGTCGGCGCCGTGGGCACTGGGGCGCAAGGTGACCCCAGACCCCCGCGAACGCCGCGCCCACGGGCCGGAGGGGAGGGCGACCTGTGCGGAGGGGACCCTGGCCGGGAACGGGTGGCTTGCCTGAGAGTGGACACGTCCAGAAGCAGGGACCCTCCTTGTCTGGGATGGGCAGTCGTGTCTGCAAGACGGGGTCCGTATCAGGGAGCTGTCAGGGAGGGGGGCCGGGGAAGTGCCGTC